GAGAAAAAAAAGACTCAAGGCTCTGAAATGCCACTCTCTCACTCATCAATAAAGTAACAGTTTTGCCTGCTCGGAAGCCTCACCCTCAGCAAGGGGTTGGCTGGGCCAAATTCGTGTGCATAAAATAGTAGAGAACCAAACTGGGCTTGGTGCGACAGCAGGAGAAGTAGAAAATTGATAGTATTGTGCAGTGCCTGGCCACGCCAGCATGCCCTCTGTTCCCTGCTGAGCCCTGCTGCAAGGGACCTTAACAGTCTGGTAGGAAGTGGGACTGACTCACGTCAATGGAGCATCCAAGGAGAGAGCCTTTTTGAAGAGCTTTCTGGATGATTTTGAACAGGTTGGGGGGTGCCTTCTGCAGCTCGTACCACTCTGCAATTCCACCTGTGAAGTCCTCAAAGCCTTCAGTGGTGGCCCCTCCTGAGAGAGCCTCATATGATCCATTCACCCTGCACAAAAGAGAACAAGAGATTTGTTCATCTCACTTTTCTTCTCTTTGATGCATACCTTTGGCTGGTGTGAACTTGTCATAGCACCACCGGCTGTAGCAAAACTATGGTAGTTTGTGTCAGCTGGGTAACTACTGCTTCCATATTTGCCTATCCTATGACATCAAGACTGAAAGCCCAACCTGAGGCCCGGCATGCTGTATACTAGTTACATGAGTTCATATAACTAAACATGAAATGTTTAAACAAAACTCCTGGCTTCCAGGCCCAGAACAAGCTTCCAACTCCTTTAAAGACTGAGCTTGTTTTTCAGCTTATCTAGTCCTGCACATAGAGAGTACAGTTCCCTTTGCTACCTAGAATGATTCCAGAGATTGGAAAATTCAGTCTTGGGCCTCTGTATCACAGACTGAAATACTGCACTCTCCCCTCAGGTTATCAAGATAACAAGGAAGCTTGGCTGGGATTTCACAGATTCATAGATTCATAGAAGTAGGGTTAGAGGGGACCTGAGCAGAACATCTAGTCCGACCCCCCGCCCTGGGCAGGAATGAATACAGGGCTCTTACGACCCCTACTAAGTTTAAGCTCAAATGACCCTAGCTAGGTAGTTAACAAGCCTCCTTTTAAAGACCCCTACAGTAAGAGCGAGCACCACTTCCCTTGGGAGTTGGTTCCAGATCCTGGCTGCCCTGACTGTGAAATAGTGCCTCCTGATGTCTAGCCTGAACCTGAATCAACTTGTGGCAGTTATTCCTTATTACTCTGGGAGGTGCTCGGGGGAACAGGGTCTCACCCAATCCCCTCTGGTCCCCTCTGGTAAGTTTATAGAGGGCCACTAGATCCCCCCTCAGCCTTCTCCCGTAGACTCTCTTCATAGGGCCTGCCTTGCTGACCCTGATCATGCGGGTAGCCCTCCTCTAGACCCCCTTGATGTTGTCCACATCCCTCCTGAAGTGCGGTGCCCAGAACTGGACTCAGTACTCCAGCTGTGGCCTGACCAGTGCTGCAAAGAGGGGGAGGATCACCTCCTTGGACCTGTCCGTGATGCATCTGTGGATGCACAACAAGGTGCAGTTGGCCTTGCTGACCATGTCCTCACATTGGCGACCCATATTCATTTTGGAATCGATAATGACTCTAAGATTTGGTCATCATCAGTGTTTTTTTTCATGCCCTAGACTCCTAGACAAAATGAGAACCAATTCTTCCTGATGGAAGAGTGGACACATCAGAGCTATCACTTCTAGCTTACAGAATCTGTCAACTGATGTGTATTATAAACTCAGATGAAAGAGTCAGTGATAAGTTCCCCAGAAGCTTTAACAGACTGTTTAAATCAGTGATTCTCTACCAGGGTGAGATGCCCCCTGGCAGGACATTTCAAATGGGGATTCATAGTGTTAAAACCACACTGACCTGTTGTGGTCTCTTTAAGTTCTTTGCAGCAAAAAAAATCTGCTCTGTCAAAAAACAAGTGAAAATCTGGTTGAAAAACAAGTAAGAGCTGGTGTTTTCCAAGGGCTGCCTTGAGGCTAAGGAGACTGAGAACCACTAGTTTAGACTGACACTTTCCTCATGTGGTTCCAGATCCTCTATCAGACCTTCAGCTTAGGTGTGAGGCTTTTTTAAAAAAACAGCCCTTTCCTTGCCCTTTACTTACTTGGCGTAGGCCTTCTCCAGAAGGGCACTCCAGAACTCAGTCCCCTCTGCTGAATGCACAAAGAGCAGCTCTCCATTTTTGGTGGGCAGCCTGTCGTCAATCACAACATCCACCCACTCCCCAAACTGCCAGAACTGAAAGAGAAAGAGATTGTAAAGGACACTGACTTTGACTCCAGGGCTATACTTTGATTGTACAGCCATGCCCTGACTGGCCAACACAACCGAGTCTCCTGTCAGCACACACATTCTCTTCCACTTGCCTAGTTTTGCCTCTTTTCTCTGTCTGCCTACTTGAGGTTTAGATACTTACCTTAGATACTTTTTTTCTCAGTTTTCTACATCATAGGAACCTGCAGCGCAACAGTTTTACTTGGATGTTTCTGCATCACTTAGAACATGTAACAAGCTACATAAATGTTAAACACTTACTGGATTCACCCAAACCTAAGACGACCCTGAATTTAAGATGACTCCCCAGCTTTTAGATTCTAGACATGGAAAATTATAAATTTGTTTTCCATATCTAGAATCTAGCTATTGGAGGTTGTCTTAAATTCATCCCCTTACCGCTTCTGCAGGGAAAGTAGTGGCAGGGAAAGCAGCAGGTGGGTGGCAGGCAGCCTGTCCCAGGCCTTTTGTCCCCGACTTGCCCGCCCCCTTGTTGCCTGCCTCCCCCAGTCCTTTCCCCCTCCTGCCACTTGTCCACCTCTGCTGCTTGCCTCCCCCTTACCTTTACAGCTGCTCTGGCTCTGTCTTCACCAAGGGCATGGGAGCACTTGGCTGGGCCAGGCAGTAGCAGTGGCTCTGGCTCCAAACTCCAGCCCCAGCCAGGGTCAGGACTGGAGCCAAAGCAGCTCCCCTTGTGCTCCGTGTGACTCTTCCCTGCACTCCTCCCTGCTCTGTGTGTCCCTTTCCCTTGTGCTTCTTCCTGCATTGTGTGCCCTCCCCGACATTCCCCTTCCCCCACAATCTTCCACCACCCTCCCTTTCCCTGCATCTATTCCCTTTGTCTTTTCCCCATACTCCCCTTGCTCCATGTGTCCCTTCACCCACAACCCAAGCTCTTTCTACATATTCTCTCCTACACCATGCACCCTTTCCCCAGTGCCTCCCCACCATACCACACATCCTTTCCTCCTGAACTGTGTGCCTCTTCCCCTGAGCTCCCTCCACACTGGGCACCCCTTTCCCTGTGGTCCTCCTGGCATCGTGTGCTCCCCCCCGCACTGTGCACCCCTCCCTGCACTGTGCCCCCTTCCAGCATGCTCCCTCCTCTCCCTACTTGTGGCATGAGCCACTCTGGCCCCATCCGGAGCTGTAGCAGCTTCTTATTTGTCCTGTACTCAATCTAAGATGAGGGGATCCCCCCATGCTGGGGGGGGGAGCAAAAGGAACCTCATTTTAGATTTGAATAAATATGGTATTACTGTATGCCTGGTTTAACTTAGCACCTGCAGCATGGATTTTAAGGTTGCTGATGCATTCATTGAAGTTTGTAATTGGGATGAGGCAACTCCTTTGGATGCATTTCAAAATCAAACTGATCCTTCATTCATGTGGCAACCTGAACTGGAACAGGACCTTTTGAAAGTTCAAGAAGGTTTAGAGAAGCCCCACAAGTGAGTTTTTCTGGGCAGATAGATTTGCTAGTGCCAAAATGGTGAACAAGAAGCTGCTCTCCTGGTCCTTCTGGATCCAGTGATAGGAGGATGTCCTAGAAGGTGTGTTTTTGCCAGATGAGAAATCCAGTTTTGCAAACCTGAGAGACCATATCCAGTTTTATGCCAGTGTGATTCCACTGATTTTACCTGAGCTACTTTTATCTTATAACAGCGGAAGGGAGATAAGTTTAAGGCCCAGGGAGTTTGGAAAGTTCAGAGTGTCAGCATCTGAACTTCTGCGTCCTTTATACTTTAATCTTTAGAAGCTGGTTGGCCATACGTTTGTAGCTTTTCACCTTAGAAGCCATGTGATACCCCTGTTACTACCAATGCTAAATCAAGTTCTATTATTGCCTGGACTGTAACTAAAGCAGACAGACCTTGATTAAGCATTCAGAAGCACCACAGGACTTAGGACCCCAGGACTGACTGCCCTCATTCTGCCCTATTCCCATGATTCTTGGGGTGATTTCCTACACAATTAACCTGACACAGAAAGAACTTTTGCCCTGGGGTAAGAACATCTGAGCTACTCCGGTTTCTAGCTGGTTGACAGATGATCCTAACAAAAATTAGTGATGAATGTACTTTGTTGCAATATGTGCCTCTAGAAAAAGATGTAGAACATGTCTACAAGTGCAATTAATATGCCTGAATTTTCTGCATAGAAAATTCAGGCTCATTAGATTGGACCTGAACGTGTGCCTGAAACAGAAGCAAATCTGCTCCCTATTATGGGAGCAGTTCAGTCCAGGGCTGCTCCTGCCCTGTTCTGCCCCCCTTCAGCAGCCAGGGGGGGCTCCAGACTCCCTCAGGTGCCAGCCCCAGGCTGGCAGAGGGCACTGGGGGCAGTGCTGGGTTGGCAGAGGGCACAGGGGGAGGTTAGGCCTGGGCTCTGAAGGGGTGGGGGGTGGGAGCTGGGGACAGCTCTCTAGAGCAGCTCTGAGCTGTGAAGCGCAGGGTTAACCTGTGCTCCCCTGCTGCTTGGGCTCACTGGGAGCAATTTGATCCTGATCAGCATCTACATGTGTGCTTCGGTGCATTAGTTGAATGTGCCATTTTCTAGTACCTGTATCTATCTGTACTAGAAAATGGCACATTCAACTAATCTACTGTGCAGTAATTGTTGCACAAGTGTAGGTATTGATGCTTTACTGTGCATTAGATTAATCTAATGCGCAGTAAAGCGTCTCATGTAGAGACACTCACAGTCAACTTTGCTAGCATCTGGTATATTCTCACTGCAAAGATACTGCTAGTTAAATCTTTTGGGTTGGAGAGAGCACCCTTCAGCTCCTCTGGGCTAGCAGAACTCCTTCTCTTGTCAGGAAGCAGGACACCTGACCTCTTCAGGAATGAAATTCCTGCTTCCCCATGCTCAGCCGAGACCTACACCCTTCTTTTTAACCACCCAGACAGATAACAGTTCATTAAACAGGGTTAGTCAAGGTGGTATTAGGGTCAGGATCAGTCAGGGTGGGCTCCTAGATGAATCCTGCCAAGTAAGAATTCAAAGATGTTTCTCTTCTCTGTTATGGAGTAAGGGTGGTGGGAACGGCCCTTGGTGGAGACTGCAGTCACTCCATGACAGACGATATTGTGTTATATTAAATGATAAACTGTATAATATTACTACAAAATATTGAAGTACATGGTTTCAGTTCTTCAGTTGATGTAAATCAGCACAACACCCTTGACTTCAATGGCAATGTGCCAATTCACACTAGCTGATCTCATCTAATTGGATGCACAGGTGCATGTGTGTGTGTGCCTGTGGGTACAGGCATGCACACGCCTCACAAACTTATAGTATTTGACCCTTCAGCAAAAGGCAAGGTCAAGCTTTCCCAAGTACCTGGAAGTGGAAGATTCCTGCATATTTGCTCTGGAAGCTCTGATCTTTGGGAACCACTCGGGCGAGAACCTCTTCATTCAGGGTGAGAGATGCAATGGCTGCCAGGAGCCAGCAGTCTCCTGTGAACACAACAGAAAGCATTAGACTTTAGTTCAGGAGTGGGCAATTATTTTGGGCAGAGGGCCACTTACTGAGTTTTAGCAAGCTGCCCAGGGCCGCATGGGTAGCCCTGCCCCTTGACAGATGCCCCGCCCCTTGGTCACCATCTTGTGATTGGAAGTCCCACCCCCTAATCCCTGACCTTTGCCAGGGATGTACTCCCTCCGCTTGCACCCCAGAAGTACTCCTTTCAGTAAGGGGTTTTGCCATCTCAGAACCAGAAAAATACCAAATTATATTCTAAAAAGCGAATATCTAAAACATTAATTTGATTTCAAAAAACATTTTATCCTGGTTTACGTGTGTTTGTGTAGTGTACATAGAGATGATTGCACAATAGCTTAAAATGAAGTCTTTCTCTTGTATATTGCGGGAGGCTTGCGGAGGTTGATATAGGTTTGTGAAGAGCTGCAGGTGTGTGGGTATGTGGGGTGTGGGGGAGTGTGTGGGTGTGTATGTGGATATGTGGGGTGTGGGTGGGTATGGGGTTTCCGGGGTGCTGTGTGTGGGGGAGAGGGTGGCTGGGGTGTGTGAGGGTGTGGGGTCTGCGTGTATGGCAGTGCAAGGGGGGTGTGGGTGCATGTGCATGGTGGTGTGTGCATGTGGGACTTGCCCTATGAACATACACACACTGTCCCTCCTTCCCTCCCACTCTTGACCTTGGGGTACCAGCACAGGGCCTGTGTTCCCACAGTCCAGTGATGCAGCCAGGAGCCACGTGGTGCTCACACAAAACCAAGGAAATGGCTGGGGGTAGGGTGGGGTGGGGTGGGGCTGGGCTGCTGGGTCCTGCTGCTGGCTTCCCCCGGGTCCTACTTCCCTGGCTCCTGTCATCTTTGACAGGCAGCCAGACACAGATAAATATTAATTTTCTAAATTCTTAGGGGCCCCGCAGGCTGGATAGAATGGCTTGGTGGGGCAAATCCAGCCCACAGG